TTTTTCTCAGTAGGTTTCACATGTGCACATGTGAAACAACCTCTAAACATATAGTAGGTTTCACATGTGCACATGCGAAACAACCTCTAAACATATGCTAAAAATGGTTTCTTTGCTTGTGCACATACGAAACAGGTTGAGAGGTGACTTCGCATGTGTACTTGTGAAGGGCATTTTTGGATTTTCAATTATGAAAATCACCACTATGCAGTATAAAGAGATATTCCCTTAATTTTTGGCCAAAGTTAGGGATACGATTGATTTATCTTAGGAAGATTGGAATGTCAATCCATACTCTTGTTTCTTGTAAATCTTTATTACATGGATTCCATCTGATTTTCTGGGTGTTTCTCTTTGTTCGGATTGAATTGAGTACTCTTGTGTTCAATTTTAATTAATTCATTGGGCTTATAAAAAAACATATTTTAATTTTCAATATAATAGGTTTTTTTTAATTGAACTCTTTAATCAATACTAATACTATTTACATCACTTTTACTTCAATATTTTTTTATTATACATTTATCACGTGAATATACCAATGTTTAATGTGAATCTTTTATAAAATTTGGTCAGGCTAACATGTGCTATAAGAGCACATGTTAAGGATACTATAATTAGAAAAAATTTAAATATAATTAAATATAACAAAGTCATATTTAATGTTTTAAAACATTGAATACACGCGTTCAAATTTTTTTATCTATAAATAGCTTATTAACTTGTTCCTATAAAATTTTAATTATATGTGAGAAAGTTAACTAAATCAATTATTTTTGGGCCAAATATTTATATGTTAAAGACATTAATGCAAAATATTTAATTATTTAGGGGTGGAAATGTAAATCAACATTAATTTGTTTAACTTTTTATTTTAATTAAAAAATGTCAACAATTGTATCGCACAAGATTGTTACTTGTCCATAATAAATGTCACCTTCAAACTATAATGAAATCCATTCCATAAAGAGTGTGTGGTACTCTCTCTTAACTATATTATAAGAGAAATTTTACTTTTTGCATTCATTATATATAGATCAGATACATTCATCAATGAATGAATCTAAAAAGTGAATTTTCTCTCATAATAAGGACGAGAGATAGTATTATAAATGAGATATATAGATTCATCATTCACATAATTTTTAAATTGTCTGGTCAATTAAAATTGTTAATTGATATCATATTTTGTAGTATTCACCTAATTAAAAATAACTTAATTCAAAATTTTCTCAAATACTGAAATAGGCATCGTAAATTAAGAAGGCACACTAAAAGGGAAAACAATTTTGCTGGTGCATAAGGTTAATAAATGAAGAAAAAGTAAGAGATGATAATATTAAAACTCTTCAATAACGGCTATAAAGTTGTAAGGAAGGATGATTAAATAATGATTGTTGTTACTACTACAAATGACAACTACAACTAGTCTATTTATACACAAAGTAAATTGCCACGTAGGCCCTAATAAAAGTAAACTTAATGACTAAGTTAAAAGGTACAAACTAGAAAATACTAAACTTAACAGCTACGCTAACAAACTCAGCTCCAGAACCCCAGAAGCTAAGTATACTTCTTGGCGTAACCTCATAAGCTTCTGCTTCTGATTAATAACAACTTCTGATTACATGACAACAACTACTTCTAACTAAGTAGTCTCAGAAGCTTACAATTTTTGGCTAACAACCTCAGAAGCTCAAATGCTTCTGAGCAACAACATCTTCTGAATATGAATTACTTCCAACATCATCCCTTAATTCATATTCATCTAACCAAAACTCTTCAACACCAATTCCATCCCTCAAACAGATAAAGTGTTCAGTCTTGACATCTTTTGTCAGAATATATGAAGTTGCTTCTGGTTGCTATAGTGTGTAACTTCTAATACTTCATTTAGAAATTCAGATTTTCCCTTGAAAACCCATCTGACCCTGATGACTTTCTTCTCTTTTGAAAACTCAGTTAATTCCCAAGTCTTGTTTCTTTGTGGTCTCTGGACTTGTTCAGAATCTCCTTCTGATTCTGTAACAGAAGTTTGACTACCACTAGAAGCTTCACCTTTTTTACCTTATGGACTTTGTCCAGAACCACTACCTTCAAAAGTACCATCTTCAAAAATTGGATCGCCTTCAGAAGCTCTACCTTCAGAAGTTCCACCTTCAGAATCATGACCTTCATCAGAGGTTGGACTACCTTCAAAATCTCCTTCTTCAGAAGGTCCACCTTCAGAGTCATGATTACCACCATAAACATGATCATATCTAGAAGCTTGTCCTCTAGAACCTACGCCTTCAGAGTTTTCCCTTCTAGAAGCATAATCACCACCAAATTTAAAACGTGGATCAGAATCAGATTCACCATCTGACTCATCTTTAGAGTCTCCAAAAGATTCTTCATCCTCTGACTCTGACTCACTTTCAGAACTTTCAAGTTCTGACTCGTCTTGAGAAGTAGAATCTTCTTCAGATTTTTATTCATCTTCTAATTCTTCTTCAAACTCAGAATCACCTTCAAATTATGACTTGTCTTCAGCTTCATAGTCATCTTCTAACTCTGACTCGTCTTCAGAAACCTCAGATTTTGACTCATCTTTAGAATCTTCAGCGTCATCTTTTGGTTCTAATTCATATTCAAACACTCCTTCAGAGTCAAAATATCCAGAGTCATCTTTTTTCCCTCCAGAATCAGAAAATAACAATCCCACGGGTTTCTCGTCAGATTCATAAGTTATCAATAGGACACGTTTATCATTTGAATCTCCTTAGGCTATTTTTACTTCTTCTTTGTTTGACAACAATCTTTAGCAAAGTGGCCAAACCTATTACAACAGTATTACTGAACCATTCTCTTGTCATACTTCTCCTTTTCCTTCTGATGTTTCTTCTCATCAGAAGTAGAGGTTATGACTTCTGGAATCTATGACCATATTTATTCTTGGTTTCTGACCAAGAATGCTTCTGGTCCTTCTTGACAAAATAAGCCTTCAGAGCCTGCTCAACGTTCCTCTCAAAAGTTCTTTCAGTCAGACGCAACTCATGTGCCTCTAGACTGCTTTGCAACTCTTCTATTCTCATGGTTTCCAGATCTTTAGAATGTTTAATTGCTACAACAATGTAATAAAATTGAGGAATAAGTGACCTTAATATCTTCTTAATAATTACTTGTTCAGAAAGGGTTTCTCCACAAGCTTTCATCTCACTAGTGATCAGAATCACTCTAGAGATGTACTCAGAAACCTTCTCGTTGTCATTCATGTTGAGATTCTCATACTTCTTTCTGAGGGACTGAAGCTTCACCTTCTTCAGTGATGTGTCACCTTCTTCAATGCTGCGTCACCACTGTAACACCTACTTAATGTGTCCCACATAACCTTCATGGTCGTTGAATAAGCAATTTTCTCAAACACGTTCTCATCCACGCACTGATGGATGAAGAGCAACGTCTTCTGATCTTTCTTCCTTGTATCTCTCTGCGCATTTCTCCGTTCCTCCATCGCATATGCTGTAACTTGAACGTAACCATTTGTAACAAGCTCAAGACATCCTGAGCGCCAAACATCACATACATCTTAATCATCCAATGATTCCTATTTTTTCCATTAAACTGGAAGCATGGTGCTTAGACTACCATTTTCGATCATCTCCAACCTTGTACAGAACACTCAGATCTCACAAACACAATGTTTCTCAATCCCACAGAATTAGAAAAATGTGATTTTGTTCAAGATTCAACACAAATTCAAGAACCAAAATCAATCACACAACGTCTCGTGTTTCCTGTGAATACAACCGGAGCTCTAGATATCAATTTGTTGGTGCACAAGGTTAATAAATGAAGAAAAGTTAAGAGAATAATATTAAAGCTCTACAATGACGGTTGTAAAGTTCTAAGGAAGAATGATTGAACAATGATTGTTGTTATTATTACTGTTACAAATGACAATTACTACTAGTCTATTTATACACAAAGTAAATTGTCACGTATGTCCTAATAAAAGTAAATTTAATGACTAAATTAAAAGGTACAAATTAGAAAATACTAAACTTAGTAAATTTAATGACTAAATTAAAAGGTACAAATTAGAAAATACTAAACTTAGTAAATTTAATGACTAAATTAAAAGGTACAAATTAGAAAATACTAAACTTAACAGCTACGCTAACAAACTCAACTCCAGAATCCCAGAAGTTAAGCATACTTCTGGGTGTAACCTCGTAAGCTTCTGCTTCTGATTAATAACAATTTCTGATTACTTCAAATTATAACTTCTAACTAAGCAGTCTCAAAAGCTTATAACTTCTGACTAACAACCTCAGAAACTCAATAATTACTTTTGAACAACAACATCTTCTGAATATGAATTATTTTCAACAAATTTCACCACACAGCATTTGAAATATCAAATATTCAAATCTCTTGAAGTGTGAACCTTACATAAGCATATTGTGATCGTTTTCAAAATCATACATCAATTTTATGAACTTAAAATAAAATGCCCGTCTGCTTTTACAAATAAACAGATAAACTTTTAGGAATCTTTATTCTTTGAAAAAATAACAAAAAGTTGTATTCCATATGGTTTGCCTCGTAAAAGAAAAAAATCTCTAAATAAGGTACTACTACAACATTATTAAGAAATTCTCAAAAACAATTTTTTATTTTACAAAAATATAACATTTTTCTTGATTATCATATTTACCAGTGATGATAGTTCATAATCAACATGAAGCCATACAAACTATATACTAACCTCACTTCTACCCACAAAAAAATAGTGTATAAACCAAACACATGACAGAAATAAGAAACAAATAAATTTTATTCATATGTTGAAGCTAGAAACATTTCATAGTCCAGAGACAAACTCCACCATATATATTTTTGGCTACTTGTAACTAAAAACTAACAAGAGAATGAGTCATTTACACTAATTAATCAAGAGTTTCTTATAATAAAATAAAAAAATAAATTAAAATCATAATAATGCATACACTGTTATATTAATCAGTGTTGTTCTTCTTCTTCTTCCATCCCAAAGCTTGTTTGATCTTCCCCATAGCTTTCTTGATGATTCCTTTCCCAGCGCTGGATCTCTTTCCTTTCACTTGTTTATCCACTTCCAACTCTGCAACAAAACCCTGCAACGAAGCACCACATTCTAAAAGCGCCTTAAACATACACCCATAAGCCCTTCGTAACAGCTTCTGAAAAGACTCGGTAACTTTAATGACTGCGGTATTGTTGTTATTGCTGTTGTAACCGTAATACCCAACCCTCACGCGCCCGTTCGCGTACTCCTTACACGCGGCGAGAAGCACACACCCTCGCTCACGAAAATGCTCCTTAACAAATTCCTCAAAATTCTTCGGCGGTTTCCGAATAAGGCAAACAGCGGAGTAGCACGTGAGAACGAAAACGTCGCCATTATAAGCACGTGACTTCGACTCGAAAAGCGAACGACTCAAAACACGGTAAGCAGGTTCGTTATATAGAGGCTTCTCGTTAAGAACAAGCGCTTGAATAGAAACTAAAACCTGAAGCAGCGTTGAAGTAGCTGGGTCCCACCTCTCGAACTTTTTACCCGTCCATGTGTTCAAAAGACTCAAACAAACGTAACCGTTTGAGTACAGATTCGGGTTGAGTCGGTACCCGAATGAGATGTAATGGATCTTCGGTGGTTTGTTAGGGTAATCTTCCGGGAATGCGATGTCGAAGAAGAAGAGACCGTCGTGGTAAGGTGTACCGGCGGCGCCGATGATGACGGCGCGGAGTAAGTCGATGCGGCGTTCGTAGGCTGTTACGTGGATCGAATCGGGGAGGTTTTTCTCGAGGATTTTCCACTCTTTCATGATGCGTTTGTAGACGGCGCTCTTTGTGTCGCTGAAGTAGTTTCCTCCGATGTTGTGGCGGTGGAATTGGTGATCGGAATCGTCTGAAACCAAGTCGAATGTACTCTTTTTTTCCATCTTCTCCTCTAGTGTGAATGAATAATAGCTGCTATAATAGTAATAATTAATAATTGTTGTGTTTATGATGAGAGCTAATACTACTACTACTAAAATTAAAAAGGGTCTTCTATTTATATAATCAGTATAGTTTTGTTACGGTGATTCGAAAAGATAGGTTAAGTTAAAGTTTGGCGACTATTATGGGTTGACTAACCAATCAGATTCAGTCTTTTTATTTATATTCAGATTTCTTCTTTATTTTACGGGATATTCAGATTTAATTAAAAAATAAAATGTTATCATTCTGTCATTTGATAATTCAATTTTAACTAGAATTAAATTGATTTAGTTTTTCAAGTACCAACAAAATCCATTAAATCGAATTTCATATGAGAACCAAACCAAATAATTATAGGAGGTGGTAGTACATAGATATAATATAATATAGTATAAAATATTATACTTTCAATCTATCAAAATTATTATATTTGTTATTTGTAATGTTATGTCTGTATTTTTTTTAAAAATATGTGTGATTTAATAAGATATAACACCTTTTAATGATTAATAATATAAATATATTTTATATTATTAATGTATATTCCTTTTTCTTAGTTTTTTACTAGTTTTTCTCTTGTTTTAGCTTTTTTATTTAGTTTGATAATATAAATATTTAAAAATGTTTTATTAAATTTTAATTATATTTTAAAATAAAATTTTTATATTTATAAATATGTCAATTACTATAACTAAATTAATTTATTCTTCATTAATTTCATTTTATTCGGATATTTAAGTACACATACCGTGCATTATCATTAAAATTTGTTTCTTTTTCTATTTAATTTTTTTTTTTGTTTTTGTATAATTATTTAACATTAAATTTATATTATCATTATTCTTTTTATAATTAAAAAATTCATTTTATATATATATATATATATATATATATATATATATATATATATATATATATATATATATATATATATATATATATATATATATATATATATATATATATATATATATATATATATATATATATATATATATATATATAAATTTACTCCTGCAATGTATATGCACGAGTATTTTGTTACATAAACTCTAAAAAGAACTTAATGAAACCCTACCGTTACAACTCTATTAAAAATTTAATTCTTCCTTGCGTAAAACTGACTTAATTTTCTTTTTAAAATTTAATCTTAGTTATTAAAATATATGAATATAGAAGAATTAACCAAACAGAAACAATATATAAAAATAGGAGGCAATACACTAAAATATTAAAACATTAGATATAAGAAATTAGATTAAGAGTCATGTTATATGGACATCAAAAAGCAACACCTATATTGAACGCCGTATATATACATTCCAAAAATGTTCATCTTTTCTTTTGATTTGATAAGAGGAGAGAAAAATTAATGAAAAAAATTGAAAGCGTATTAATATACGGTGTAGGTGTTCCATTAGGTGTCGAAATAAATAATTATTTAATTAAATTAGTGGTGAAAAAAAGAGGTAAGGAAATTAGATGCAGGACTCATGTTTCCCACTATATCCTCACTTTTTTTAAATAAAAACTAAATTTATCAATAAACAATTATACAATTTTGGGCCTTTGGCCTGTTAGAGTCTTTATTGAACCCAATTCTCTAATTCGAAAAGGCTAAAATCTAGCTATATCACGAACAGTTACATTATTCAATCCAGAAATGTATCTGAATGTTGTTTATATGAATTATTTATATCATCTCACTTATCTACCATATAAGAATTTTAATAAATTTAATGGTTCTGAAAAAAAAAATTCTACTCTAACCTCTTAATCTAACACCTCATCAAAATAAGGATATTTTGTGTTTAAAAAATGTTTTTTTTAATTAATGATGTCATTTATTTCTATTTCAGTTACATGGTTGTTGTTTTTTGTCTTTGATTATTGGGTTTGAATGGATTGATGATGTCACTTGGTCCAAATTAAATTTATTTTCTTATTTTCTTTTCATTCAATGTCACTTTAATTCAAATTTCAAATGTTTGAAGAATCTTCTCTCTCTCTCTCTCTCTCTCTCTCTCTCTCTCTCTCTCTCTCTCTCTCTCTCTCTCTCCTTTTTCTCTTAGTCGACTGTTATTTCTTCCTCTTCCTCTTCCTCAAGCTTCCCCCTCTTCTTCTTCTTCGTCTTTCTCACCTTCATTCGGTAACCCACCTTTTCCTACGTTTTTCTTTCTCTTAACCTAAACTTTATGCATTTCATCTCTTCCTCTCTAAACCTAACAAAATTTATGTTGAAACCTTAAGTTTGCATCTGAAATGATGGATCTAAAGTGTAAATCGAAGACGGCGTTATGGTTTTTGTATGGATTTCACGGTGACTATGTGGTGATGATGGGGGAAGCGCAATTGAAGATGTTGGAGCTTTTGGGTAGGAAAGGGAACCAAAATCAACAGTGGTGTGTGATTTAGTTTGTGGTGGTGCAATTTATCGTGGATAATGACTTGTCTGATTTTATGTTTCATTCTGAAATTTCTTTATGTTATTTTCTATATTTAGTTTAAGTTGTATTATGGAAATGATTTATTCTGTTTTTATCATTTGGTATTTTTTTAAGGTTTTGTCGTGTTTGGAATTAGGTCTGATGGAAATCTTTCGAAGCAGCTGAATTTTTGAGACTACTGTCAATTATAGCTTTAACCAAGGGGGCATATTTCAAAGGAACCCACTTAAAATCATTATCCATGGGTATGGAGGTTATACTTCTGATCCTAAACCTGCAAAACTAATTACTCTAAGCTTTGAGTACATGGTTAATTGAATATTGTATGTACTGGAATAGAAGGATCTAATGATGGTCCTGATAGGGATGTCAACGGGGCAGAGAATATTTAGAGGATGCTTCCCTGCTCCCGTCCCACTTTCAATATTATTCCCCATCCCCAATCCCCACCCCGGGGGAATATTTTCGCCCATTCTCATCCCCACATATTTCCACGGAGATCTACAGAGATCGAATCTTAAGAAAATTTCCATATTTTTTTATCAAAACTATGACACTAGTATTTCATTATTTTTTTTCTTTTTTTTTATAAAAAGAAAATATATTTTGCATCTTTATTTTTATTTTTTAAATAAAAATACATCTTGCATCAATAAGAAAAAAAAGCAAAAGCACTTGTTGTTGCTAATATTTTTTCTTTAAAAAATAATAAATATTAACATAACTTGTTGCTACAATATTTCCGCTAATTTACTACCACAATATTGTTGTCATTTAACGCAAATCTGTAACTTCTAATTTATTAATTGAATAAAAAAATGTTACTAATGGAAGTAAAGTGAATTTGAAGAGTAATCACCATAAGCACAATGAACAAAGAAGAGTGATTGTTGTGATGATGATGATGATGATGATGATGATGATGATGATGATGATGATGATGATGATGATGATGATGATGATGATGATGATGATGATGAGAACAAAGGAGATGATGAATGGAGGAGACAAAGATAATTGAGAAAAGAAAATAAAGAGACAATGTATTCATTCTATGTATTGGGTGCACTTTTCTAGGGTTGGGTACTTAGGTAGTGAAACAATACATTGTACAATAAAATATAAAAATAAAATGATCCACTAATGAATCTTCATTTGCTATTACATTAATATGTTTTTTATGTAAAATTATATAATTATATATTATATAATATACAAAATATAAAAGTTAAATAATATAGTCAGAGTTGGGGAACCAACAGGGCGGAGGGTACTTTCCTAATCCACGCCCAGAGTGTCATCGGGAGGACTTTTCCCTCCATCCCCGTCCCCACGGAGAAAAAAACCCCAACTCCGGTGCTCTGAACAGATTATCCCCACAGGGATCCCTGTTAACAGATGTAAATTGACATCCCTAGACCCTGACAATCACATCTTATTCAATTTATTTCCTAATGATACATGCTTGAGCTTCCTCACCAGGTTTGATTGCTTTCCTGTTATGGGCATTTTTTTCCTACCAGCATCTTTGATGTATTATCCTACTCATCATTTGTCTTCCATTTCTTTCGTTTACATGATGATGTAGTCAGCTAAGCTCTTTGTTCAAGATGCTATAACGTTTAATGCTCTTGGTATCTTTGTTTGTTACAATAAGATTGTTATCATAAGAGTTATTTGAGTTACTTATATCTGACTCATTAGCCGTAACAAATTTTGTTTATATACTATTTTGGTGCAGTGATTGTAGAGACCTATGCTGATTCAACAGAAAAGCATGTGACCTTTGCTTAAATGCACTAACGCTAATGTTGATGGTTATTTTTGACTAATTTCAAATATGCTGAAAACTAATTAAGGTGGGTTTTTCATCTATTGATGGCCTTATTGGACATGTAAAAGTTTTTCATCTGTTTTTTTATTGATGTGTTGCTTCAGCTGCTATTCAACGAACTTGTGGGAAATTCCATGTATGTGTGGAGGATTGCAAGTTTTTGACGAACATAGATGTGCGAATGTGGTCGAATGTAGTGATGAGCTTGGGTGTAGACAATTAACCTCGAAGATGCACTTGCGTGTAGATGATTTCCCATTGAAATGGATAGACATTAAGATTATTTGAACGCTGATGAGGTAATTTTCAATGTCGGCGGATGAACTGATGCACTGGATCCTTCTTGGCTCAAACACTTTTTCATGATATTAATTATTTATTTAATGTATACCTTTTTCCAACTTAGAACAGAGGTGAATAAAGTGTTAAAGGTAAATCGAACTGGAAAAATAATTCGTGCAAGTTTAGATGCTAAGGTCCCTCAAGCTTACATCCGACGCCACCATGGCATCTAAGTTATCTGAACTATGTACAAGCGAAATTTATGCTGGTACATTGAATCAGCTATTCATAACTTCTCAGGTTTGCGTAAAACTATAATACTTTTTAGTTTTTCATGTCATTATTGAAACTGTTTAACATGTATTATTTCCAATACTCTCAGCCTGAGATTCTTACT